AAGATAACTAGTGTTTACTTTCTATCTTCGTGTGGTACGAAACATGTCTAATGTTAATACTTTCTTAGATTTACGCTTTCCCGTGACCATGATTGCTGAAAAGCATTCGAAACGTCTGGAACCAAAAATCAAAATAAATCCGCGAAATAATCCGATAATATAGTTTTAGTTAAAATTTCTTATGTCATTCAACGTAGACGAGAAAAATCAGCCCTTATATTTAAGGATAGTGAATAGTAAAGTCCTATAAGTAGAAAGAGTATTATATCCGTATTCTAACAACAAATTGTACTATTTTTATTTCCACTCCGAATAAACATATTATTTCCTTTATGCTGGTATAGAAACTGTGACTTCCACTTATATGACTAATAAGAGTAAAGTATTTCTTAGTGTTTTATGTAAATCAATTAAGCTGGAAATCGCTGCTCTCTTGTAATTTAATAATGAAAAGAAAGTTTACAATCTGAATTAGTTTTCCTATGAGACCAAAAATCCTTAGAACCTACGTAAGAGATAATTTTATTCAAGTTTATAATTATTAATACACTTTTAAGTAACTTTTCCCTGCGACTTTGTGTAAGATCCATTCACTTAGTTCTATGAAACATAATATAAGCTCAATAATAAATGTGTATTCAACGATATTATAGTTCTATCTAAGCAAAACCTGGTTCTCCGAGTTTACCGGACCACATCTTCCATGTACCTTCAGAAAATTCTATGAAAAAAAAATCTATAGGAAAAAGAGGTGTTTCCTGATCTTCCCAATTATCCGGGTAAATTTCCCTAAAACCCTACTTGGGTACCTTTTTCATTACAAAGACTTAAAAAAAAAACATTAGCCGAGTCAGTCTAGCCGTTCTCAACGAACGTTCGAAAATAAATTTCATTTGTATTTATATACATAGATATTTTAAATAACGTTTTGATGAGAAGGTTAGCATAAACGATATGGCCATATCAGGATAATCAATAGAACAGTTAAGCCTCTCTAAAACATAAAAATATATTACGAATAATATACTAAATATTTACGATATGTCGCATATTATAAAGAAAACGTAGTCGTTTAGTGAAGTGCTACATCAGATTGTAGTATATAATAATGTACATTTATATCCACCATATCATTGGCGGTGTTGTTTTGCATTTAATGCATGCGAATTATTAAAATCCGTAGAAGTAATATGTTCATAATCAAATACCTTTTTATTTATTTTATTCCAGCCTCTGGTGGTATAAAAGCGAGAGTGTGTTTCTCCCTTTATTGATTTCTCTTTGTTTTATTGAACAAAATACGAGCATATGACTTACATATTGAATAGACTAGCGGCTCACCGACTTCGCTCGGGTTCGCCTCTAGAAAAACAAAAAGTAATCTATCCTTCGGGAACCGTATGATTTTATGGGATTTAATGTAGTCTATGTGTTATTCCAGACTATAGTCTATCTCTGTGCCAAATTTCATCCAGATCCGTTCAGCCGTTCTGGCGTGATAGAGTAACAAACATCCATACTCACAAGCTTTCACATTTATAATAGTAGTAAGATATAATTTATGAGTTAGAGAGTGGTCTAACTCCAATACATACAGGAGTCCCCATAAATTATTTGGTCAACATATTATACCTACATCCGGTCTATGTTCTTCCGCCATTTTTGAAGTCGTACATAATAAAAAAAGTTATCTATTATTATTTTTTTATTTATTAAAGTCATTACACATGTCACATTCTCTGTCTATTAAAAATATCGTTTTATTTTACATATTTTTTTCAATCATCAGGCTAAAGGCAGCCATTAACTAAAATGAATGACAATAAAAATAAAAACATTCAATATAATATTTTTATCTCTACTTATTTTATTATTATTGTTTATTTGTTAGTAATTTAACTCGTATCTTCCCTTCTCTTTTTATCTTTTATTCCATTGATGAAAAAAAAGAAAAATAGCCAGCCAGCCACATCACTCATTTATTAAAATTCATAGGATTTTCACTTTAAAATACATAAACATAGAATATAGAAAAATCGAACAATCACAGACAGACTATTATTAAATTTTAATATATACAACTATATATATATATATATATATATATATATATATATATATAGCTTCTAGACAAATTAAAATGTAAATATTTTATCAGTGTTCATTTTAACACAAGACTTCTTCGTATTGAATCTTTTTTAACTACACATTTTTTAAAGAGTATTTTAGGAAAGTATCTCTAAATAAAAATTGCACAAAATTCGTAATAATTACATTGATATTTATTCAAAATTAAATATGTTTAAAAAGCAAATTGATGTTTATTTTTGAAATGTACCTACAGGTACTTAAAGAGTTCAATCTTTTAGCTATTATAAATAATAAAGGCTTCCATTCACGGCTTAAATAATGTTGTGTTTTTACTTAGGAGTATCAGTACACTCATCTTCTGGGTGAACCAAATTATACACACGTTGTTGAGCATCTGAAGTATACCAACCAATCAAATAAGGATATTTCATCTATATATATATAATAAAATTGAATATATATATAAAAAAAGTCGAATCTGTACAATAAATATTTTTTGGAAAATCTTATTGAAATAGACATCATTATCGATACAGAGTCCGAATCTATAGTTATTAGAATTTTTGTCTGTCTGTCTGTCTGTCTATTACCGCATCACGAGAAAACCACTGGACAGATTTTGATGAAATTTGGTATGATGGTAGCTGGTTATCCGGGTCAACATATAGGATACTTTTTACTGCGGAAAAATATCTCATTTCTGAGAAAAAATACAAAAACTGCAATGTAAGAGTATATTAATATGTAAAACCTAAGAATTTGGTTTTTGGTCATCTAAACGCGGGTGAATATTGGTAATTAATAAAGTTTAATAAAATATTGTAATATTTATAATAATAATAGCTAAAATTAAATAAATAATATAGCTATATTTAATTATAATATTTATTAAAAAAAAATCAAAATGTTTAGAATTTTGCATCAAATGTTGTAAGGTACTTTAATGCCATTTTTGAATTATCTGAAATCATTTTGTAAAATAGTGAGTAGGCACTGTCTGTAACAAGTATGTGTTGAGACGTCTATAACCTCAGTCTCTCCCGTGACCATGATTGCTGTAAAGCATTCGACACGTCGGGAACCAAAAATCTAAATAAATCCGCGAAATAATCCGAAAAAATAGTTTTTTTTTTAAATAAAGAAAAACTGTTTCTAAGCCTCAACCTGCACAGCTAACGATAAGATTACCACTATGCCAGACGACTTTGAAATAAAACTTCTCTAGAAGTTTCGATAGTATTTCTATAAATAAGTCATAACAAGTATAATATAATAGCACTCCCAAGATAAACACGTAAGGGAAGTTTAGATAAATGATCGAACTTGTTATTGGAATAAGATTAAGTTTCTAACCAATTATATTTTGGGTGTAGAAACTAAATACAAAAACATCATATTATTATGTCTATAGGTTATTGGAAACATTTACGTATTTATCTATAGGTACTAATATTATAAAGAGGTAAAGTTTGTGAGTTTGTGACGTTGTAGGGGGTAATCTCTGGATCTACTGAACCGATTTAGATGAAATTTGGTAAGAAGATAGTTTGAAACCCGGAGAAGGGCATACTTTTTATCCTAGAAATCATCCCTTAAGGGGGTGAAAATGGGGATGAAAGTTAAGTAGCGTCTAAGCCTTAAGCGGATTCAAATGTAATTTAAGTTCATAAATAAATATGCCTTCACGTATCATAAAAGTTAAAAGGTTATTCTACACACAACTGTAGGTACCAATAAATATTTTTATGCTTACTTATTTCATATCGATTTAGATGAATTCTTTATTTTTTTACTAGAACAAACAAACAAACCCCAACACTTGTAAATTATTGTACAATTTTGATTATTTTAATTGATAAAGTAGTTAAAAACATCAGCTTTTCTCTGAACACTAGCCACAATCGAATCAGACAGAGGTCAATAGGTAGAGTATTATTACTGTAAAATAATTAATTGATATTAAAATTTAAATAGTTTATACTAAAATGTAGAGTTCCAAGAAAAATTTGGGGTGTGCTTATGAGGTTGTGCAAAGAGAGTATTTATTGAAAAACCACATTTATATAATTTAATCTAACAATGTAACAAAATTTATATAATAAAATACATTTTTTCTGGCATTTTAAAATAACTATATATATATATATATATATATATATATATATATATATATATATATATATATATATAATATAAGTAAATATTTGTAATTCTATGTAGTTTATAAAGCAAAACGCTATTTTTTCCTGTAATTAATTAGTCCGTGCTGATAAAATTATGGTTGACATTGTTTATCATAAAATTATAAAGAACTACTATACTACACGTTATTAACTATTTTGTACTAATGGTATATGGCCTGATCCCCCTCCTATTGAAGGGCGTGTCCAGCAGTGGGACGTGAAAAAGTGCTGAATACAATCTAGTACCAATATGTATAGAAAATTTTTTTAAATTATTTTTTCATGTCTGCCACTTTTCTAATTATTATTGTAGCGTGATGGAGCAAAAACACATACATATGCACGCACTCATGCACGCAAACACGCACGCACGCACCCGCACAATTACACGTACACACACACATATACACACACGCACACACACACACACACACACGCACACACACACACACACACACACACACACACACATACACAAACGCACGCACGCACACACACAAGATAAGTTCATTGCTAAGTATTAATAGAAACTTTAGTGTATTTCGAAAATCGGACATAGTCCTTAAAGAAAAAAAAATCAAATTCATTTACAATTTTATTTCTTGAATAGCACGTCGTTTTCTCCTCTCTCGTTGTTTTTTAAAATAATCTACAGACGTTTTGTTGCACAAAACTACTATCGTATGTGGAATTAATCTATAGTCAAATAAAAAGTCGAAAAAGAACATGAAAGGCATCAGCATAGATATCGAAGTTATCACGTCTGAAAGTATTGCAATACCAACCAAAGAAAGGGTACGCGTACCACCAGTACGTGATATTCTCTTCTTGCAGCACGGAACCACTGATGACATCACCTTCATTACAATAAGAAAATTAAGCAGTACTAGGAAGTACGTGCCAGCTACTACAGCTTCCAAATTGTCTTCATTTAACCCAAAAATATTAGGAATTATAATGTTTTCTACCATTTTCAGGGTAAATAGAGTGCCATAACTAAAGGCAGCGGCTTTTCGTTTCCCGTAACTAATTTTTCCCGTAACCAAGAACACCAGTCTTACGTACGCCAAGATCGAAGCACAGAGAGACCAGCACATAGTTGCGGGCAGCAACATTGAAGAAGCTGTTCCAAGTTCCCACGATCCAGGAATTAAATAGCTAACACATAACTGTAGAGTTCCGAGGACTATTTGATGTATGCTTATAAAATTGTGCAGTGACCGCCATTTTGGATTCAAAAACCACACAAAAATTAAGATAATTGAACACAAAATTGACAGAATTGTTGCAATAACGGACGCTATGTCCATTATTTCTGACATAAAAAAAAAACTGCTTAGAAATGGTTATTGTATTTGAATGCTCGTAACTAAATAATTTTCTATATGCCATACAATTAATTTGTTTATCGTACAGATAAAGTTGGTTTAATAAAATCGAGACTAATTTCGTATATAGGGTTCTGTGAATTATTGAAAAATCAAACTTATATGAATACTTTTACTTAAATTTTATTCCAATTTTTAAAAGAATAGATGTCTTTTAAAAAATTATTTTGTGATGTATTAGCGAAAAACGGGATAAAATTAAGGCTTTTCGAGATCTGTTCAATACCGTCTTTATAAGATAAATTTGGTGTATCTTTGTCTATTCTTATCTATTCTTCTATTCTAATATTATAAAGAGGAAAAATTTGTTTTTTTTGTTCGTTTGTTTTGTTTGTTTGTTTCGAATAGGCTCCGAAACTACTGGTAAATTTGGTGAGAAGATAGTTTTAGACAATGGAAGGGACAAAGGATTCTTTTAATCCCTGAAATTATTCTTTTTGGGGGTGAAAATGGGGGTGAAAGTTTGTATGGGGAAGCAACCTAGAGACGAACCCGAGTGAAGCGAGGGTGAGCCGCTAGTATCCCATAAAAAGAATAACTGCAATAACACATACATACTCGTACTATGACCTGACCCTCGTACTGAAGGGAGGCCCGTGCCCAAAGGGCTGAATACATACATATATAGGGACAATACATACGTGTAGTTAAGTTGAACATATGATGGACAAAAAGCGCAAATAATTAATACAAATCTCTGTATATAGAGTTCCGCTAAAGATTTAATGAGTAGGAATCTCATTGTACACAGTCCTTAAAGTACGGCCAACGGGGACCCCGTGTTTGGATTTCGCAGAACAAAAAGATGGTGAAAATGGATAATTTAAACGTTATGAGTAATAAAACAATAATTTTTCATTTTTAAAATGCATCGTTTGATATTAATACAAATGAAAAATGTACAAAAATTGGGCTTACTCTTACCTAAGCTATATTTTTTTCTCTTTTACGTGAATCATAATTTTATTATCTTTATAGGAAATATAATGATGAAAAAAAAAGCTTTCTTTAGTGTTGTAACTGCCCTTAAATCATATCAATACGCGATCTACGTCAATTGTTTACAAAACATTTTATCGGTATATTTATAGAATAATTATAATAATATATTATACTTAGTTAGTAGTAGTTTGTAGTGACCCTTGCTGTGCCGGTCGAGGGTTCGAGTCCCGCTGGGGGCATTCATTTTTGTGATGAGCACGAATGTTTGTACTTCGGTCATGGGTGTTTATATTTCAAATAATCAACTATCTGGTATTCATAACACAAGCCTCACTAACAAGTGCTGTGTGTTAATGTCCCAAAATATTTATTTACTATACTTATATTACAATGTATTAAAAATATTACTATTGGAGTAGTGGATGAAATGGCGATAGGTTACAGCGACAACTTGTGATTCACGGATGCCTGTTAAGTTGAAGGGTACGATCTATAAATCCATAATAAGACCTAGGCTACGAAAAAGTCTGATGAAAGAAGATTTCATGCTGGAGACATGAGAATATTAAGGTGGATGTGAGGAGTGACGAGAATGAATAAAATAAGGAATGAGTACATAACGGGAACCTTGAAAGTAACGCCAGTGATAGATAAGTTGAAAGGAAATCGTCTGACGCGATTTATACACAGTTTACATTGACAGGTCATGGATGTTGCCAACTTAATTATAATTTGTTTGCGTTCTTACTTGCCAACAAGTTGGTATGGACATGTGAAGATGAAGGATGAAACGCACGTGACGAGAAGGGGGGTGGAAATGAATGTAGATAGATGGAGTGGTAGAGGAAGACTGAAAAAAAGATGTATAGATTGTATGAGACAGGATATGAAAGAGAAAGGGGTGAATGATGAGATGACGAGTAATAGGGGAGAGTGGAAGAGGAAGGCTTACTGCGCAGATCCTAAGTAATCTGCGAAAAGGGCAGAAGGGGGATGACGATGAATGTGTTAAAAATATTTTTGAAAGCTTATAATTTATACTAGCGACTTACCCTTGCTTCTGTCTCGCTTCCGGTGCATGCCTGAGTCACTTTCTAGATATGATACTAAAACATAAAATTTTACTCGTGAGTGTGCGTGTTTGCGTGAGTGTGCGTGTGTGTAAGTGTGTGCGTGCGTGCGAGTGTATGCGTGTGGTAGTGCACGGCTATTAGTAGACCCACCCACCCATGGTGAAACGAGGCTAAGTACTAGTTATTATATATGTACTAGCATTGCCCGCGGCTCCGCCCGCGTTCAGATGACCAAAAACTAAATTCTTAGGTGTTACATATTAGTATACTCTTACATTGCAGTTTTTGTATTTTTCCTCAGAAATAAGATATTTTCCCGCGGTAAAAAGTATCCTAGGATCGCGCGCTACATCGCCCGGTTTATATAGCTTGAGCAGGCGGTCGAGCGATGCGGGGCAGAGGGGATGGACTCGCCGTAGGCATCTCAATGCTCGCCAAGCATTAAAAATGTTTCGCTACTAATTACTTCTAACAACGATATCTCAAAAACTATTCATCTGATTGATTTAGTGTAAAGAGCAATTTTAATCTGCATTAAATGACTAAGCTAACTAAAATATTCATTTGGATAAGGATTAATACCGAACTAAAGAAAATAACTTTGAAAATAACGTAATGTTTTTAATTAAAAATGTTAACATAAAAGTGGTTATTGTAAGTCAACCGTAAGAGATAGAGATATGCTATCGCGGACTTTTTTGTAGCATTTTTATAGATTTTGAATTCTCTAGTACATTACTTAACTGTATCTTTGCTAGTTTACGCGGCGTTCGCGTGGAAAGTTCCCATTTGGCGAGATTTTTTGCGACCTCTTCAACATTTGTCGCCGTATTTCAGCTAATTTACATAAAAGCATAATAAATTATATACCTAAACCTTCCTCAAGAATTACTCTTTCTATTGTTGAAAACCGTATAAAAATCCGTTCAGTAGTTTTCGAGTTTATCGCGTACAGACAGACAGGAGGACAGACAGGAGGACAGAAAGACGCGGCCGGGGGACTTATTTTTATAATAAGTATAGATATTCGTATTTTGACAAAAGACAAATAATAATATTATATTCAGGTCATAGTCTATTTGTGTATCAAATTCCATCTAAATCCATCCAGCCGTTTTAACATGATATAACACACATACATACAAACTTTTACAATTATAATAGCAGTGTAATAAAAAAAAACAACTCCCTTAACAAAATACTTTTGTTACAAGAAGATAATCCAAATGAAGACTAGCGCGGCGGCCAGATCAGAAATGTCGTAATGTTTTTTTCATTAGTAAAATAAAAGAGTATGTAGTAAGGAGGCTGTATTTCTTTCGTAAATTGCCTATAAATTTATATTATGGCCACTCTTATTTGAGGTACCGAGGTTTTCCAGATAAACAGGCTTGTTTTATTATGAAAATGTATGATTTGTGTTTCCTTCAATTATGCTCGTTATATTTCTAATGGCTTAGGATATTTTTATTTCTTACCCTTATTCCCTCAATGACCGCGGACACGCCGGCATTACAGTCAACAATAGATTTCTTAGAAATTTACCTGAAGGTGTTATACATAAATATTTTATGCAAGGACTTAAAAAAGCTTATCGCTCTTTTAAGAGCTTAAAAGCTTCAAAGATATTTCCAAGTAATGACACGTGATATTTAGATTAATATGAAGCTGTTTCAAAGAAACTATATTTAACTGCCAATTCAAATTAGCATAACGCTTTAAAACAAAGACATTACCCGACACGCTACTTTTGTCATCATGCAAACTAGACTAATAAAAACGTTTATACACCTTCTTTTATGGCGGTTATAAGAATGCCGAAACTGTATAATACAAATAGTTGTTTCACGCGATCCTTCAATTTAAGGAATGTCACGCGAATATTTAAAATTTCGTTTATCGTTGCGGCGTTAGATCATGGTTTAACCGACTTTCTATGGACGAGGGTTCTGTGGTGAAGATTCTAAATTTTTTTTCTATGCCCCATAATTTAGTGAGGTTTATTTTTTATTATTTATTTATCTAACATAAAATATATTTAAATAAATAAAGGTAAAATATAATATGGATAAAAATAACTTAATTCTATGAGATTTCTTCCAGAAAACATTCAAATATAAATGATGTATTTTCTATGTTATTGTATTGTTTGCTTACTAAGCTATCTTTGCATTGTATTTGTATTGACGACACGTTTGGCTCAGTTTGTAGTGACACTACTTGCTGTGCCAGCGGTCGTGGGTTCAAGTTCCGCTAGGGGCATTCATTTGTGTGATGAGCACGAATGTTTGTATTCCAGTCATGGGAGTTTATATTTATAATATGCATGTACTTAAAGTTATATATGTGTGGTGTATCAACTATCTGGTATCCATAACACAGGCCTCGTAGCTTACCATGGAACTTGATGGTGCTGTGTGTTAATGTCCCAACATATTTATATTTATTATACAGGAGAGCACTGGGACCTAAGATACGTGCTTAGTGGTTACCTAGTTTAGAGTGCCAGCGTTGTCACTGACCTAAATATCTTTATTTATTAAATATCGAAATTATTATTAAAGACAACAAGATGAATTAAAAAAAATAGTTACGTAATATATAATAGAAACGTATACAAGGATAATAAATATATTTGTACTTATATATATTATACTAGCGACTCTCCCTCGCTTCGCTCGGGTTCGTCCCTAGGTACGTTTAACAGTTAGTATAGATTTATCAGAGATGAGATATTTTCCCCCAATAAAAAGTTGACTCGGATAACCTATCATCTATCTAGCTATATAAGCTATCATCATACCGAATTTCATCAAAATCTGTCCAGTTAGTTTCTCGTGATGCGTTTCCAGACAGACAGACTGACAAACAAACAAACAAAAATTCTTAAAACTATAGATTCGGCCTCTGTATCGAAAGTAATGAATGACTATTTCAATAAGATTTCCAAAAAAATATTTAATCTACAGATTCAAATCAAAATTTTATTATATCTTGAAGTATCTGATACAAGCAACACTTCTTCTTCTTCTCCCTGTCCATTTCCCAATCACTTGGTGTCGGCGCAGTACATCTTCTGTACTGCTGATAGGATTTGGCAAAAGTTTTACGAACGGCCGCCTGCCTAACGTCAACCCTCCTTAGGAATAAGAAGATACAAGCAATACGCACCCAATAAAATATCCCATTCAAAATTTTATATGCCCAAGAGTCACTCTTGCATTGAATTTTCTAAAATCCTTCTGTAGTCACCTTCATTATATAAGGAATCTTGTGTTAGTTAGTTTTTTAGAAATAATATTTTTTAGATTTTTATTATTTAGAAAAATAAGGGAAACAAATAACTTTTTTAACCGTTAAAATGCAGTGTTGGTTTTAGGGGTGGTGTGATTCAATATTTGACGTAGCAAATATTTGTATAAGAACTACGGATAAAATTATAGTGTAAAATAAAATTTTGTTTAGAGGGCTTGATTGATTTTAACAGTTAAAATCACGATCATAATGATGATTATGATCATAAGACCGCAGTTTTTTCTCTTCCTTTTAAGGAATGACTAAATAAAAAACTAAATTTCGTTTTAATCGTTAGCGTAGTTTCAAAATATAGTAGCATCTATTTACTTAAACACTAAAAATTTTATTTTAATATAATAATCTTACATTTAATACTAGGCTTTAACAGAAAAAGTAATAAAATAAATAAAAATCTACATAAGAACTTAATAAAAATATTTTACGACGCAAAAAGCTATGGGATTAAATTAAATTAAAACTGTCATACAAAACAAATGAATCTGCCAGAAAAAGCTTAACGGATAAGGTATTTGCGGGTGATACAAAGGCATTGTGTGAAAAACTAGGACAAGGATAAATCGTGCAAGTCCCACTAAGATATTTAAGCAGGAGTCACATGAAGCTATGGCTATACATTCAAAAATGTCTGAATGTATGAACTTTATTATATTAACATATTAGAAAAACACTAAAAGAGATCTATTAGTTCCCACGGGAACCGTTCATTTTTCCGGGATGAAAAATAAACTGTTGTTTGACCGGCAATATAAGGTGAGCATGCCAAATTTTACTAAATTAGGTGCATTAGTTGTTGTTAACTAAGCTGTATAAGATATTATAGTTCTTTAACTATCCCTCGAGAACTCTTTGATTTTCTGTGATGAAAAGTATCTAAGATGTTGACCGGGAATATAAGGTATCACCATGCAAAATTTCATTTAAATCAGTCCGATAGTTTCGGAGATTAGCCCGTAAAAACAGACAGACAGAAACAAAAAATTTGAAAAAAAAACTGTATTTGTTCTATTTGTCTTCTTACATCCTCCTGACTCGGTTTTTAGCATTTTTTTGTTATGTACAGACATTCGACCTCTACTGTTTTATTATAGTATAGATATTTTCTTAGATTTACGCGAATATTTGAAATTTTGAATAAAACTATCTTTTTGGATTATTTCGCGGATTTGTTTTGATTTTTGGTTCCCCGACGTTTTGAATGCTTTAAATCGCAATGCTTGCAATCATGGTCACGGAAGACTAACCTCTCCGTCTCTCCGACACGATTGGTGAGAGTTAAGGTGCAGGATTGATGGCTTTACGCGCTCTCCGAGGCACGGAAGTGTAACACCGCCAAGTGCCAACTTCCCAGCTCCTGGCTACTACTGAGAATATCTTAACAGAAAAACTCATCAAATAATATTCATACCACCACCTTATGTACTATATTATATAAAAATATGATTAAATAATAAAACAAAACTTATATTACACTTTAAAGTGCTTCCAGAAGAAGAAAAAATGTATACGGTCTAACTTAGTGCATACGTTAAAACTACCAATGCAACTCTTAAGCTCTCAGTCTCGCCAAGTCGATGGA